TTTTCACTTTGTTTTTGTTGAGTTTAATCAGCTCTTTGTGTACCTTTGTGCAAATATTTTCTCCATCAGTAGATGTCTTTTTTTAGATTTATTTATGCATACAGCATAAATGGGGTATAGGCCAGGTGCATGGGCGGTGAGAGGATTCACCAGAGACAGAGTGGAGAGCAGAACAGGCCAACTGACGAAGTATACTGCTGAGGGTAGCAGTGGGCGTGTCAGGAAAGGTCTGCTATGCCATGTGGGTCACCTCTGAGTCGGGAATCAAATTCATGCTGAAGTGGCTTTAGCTTCTTAGTGCTGTGCTTTAACGTACTGCGCCACCAGGGAGAGCCAGTAGATGTCTTTTTAAGTCACAATGATTGGGTCAGACTGTCTGGAAGAAGTCAAGAAAAGCAACGGGGCTACAATGACACAAACAATTTCTAATTTTGCAGACAGGTTCCGTGGTAGAACAAGCAGTAAGAGGTCTTGTTCTTGTGCCCACCAAAGAATTAGCACGGCAGGCCCAGACCATGATTCAGCAGCTAGCTGCCTATTGTGCTCGAGACATCCGGGTGGCCAATGTATCAGCTGCTGAAGATTCAGCCTCTCAGAGGTAGGTGGAAGCAAGACTTCTGGACAGTGAAGCTGCCCAGAAATGGGGGATTGGGTTTTTGTGTAGCAAAAAAGATGGCTGGCCCTACCTGCTGCTGCTTCTACTTGCAGAGCTGTGCTGATGGAGAAACCAGATGTGGTGGTGGGGACCCCATCTCGCATATTAAACCACTTACAGCAAGACAGTTTGAAACTGCGAGACTCCCTGGAGCTGCTGGTGGTAGATGAGGCTGATCTTCTTTTTTCCTTTGGCTTTGAGGAAGAACTCAAGAGTCTTCTCTGGTAAGGAAGAGGTATGTGTGGGTTGTGAATAGACTAAGGCCTAGTGTCAGTTGGCTAGAGTTCAGCTGACACAAGTAGAGATCCTTGGAGTTATGGCCTGATGGGGTTCTGTTTCCTTTTAGCCACTTGCCCAGGATTTACCAGGCTTTCCTGATGTCCGCTACTTTTAACGAAGATGTACAAGCACTCAAGGAACTGGTACTCCATAATCCGGTAAGGGCTCTATGTGGAGCATGTAATGCTCAAAGGAATTGATTCTCTTGTTTGTAGGAACCTTTTCGCGTTTCTGATGGGGGAATTGTTCCTTAGCATCCCTGATTCTGACCAGTGGAAGCCGTTAGTTGGCAGAGCTCCAATCTAAAATCATCACTTTGTTCTAGGTGTTCTCTGTAGGGTTTCATGTTTTGCGTAATGGCCCAAGCAGAGATCGCCCTTCAAGGGGCAGGAAGACTGCCTGTGCAGCAGGAACAAAGTTCCTTATGTTAACTTCAGAAATGTTGTGGCTGTAGGACTTTCCTCCTCAATATGGTCATATAGTGCCTGTTTCTCTTTGTTCTGTGCCCACCTGGTTTATGTGTTTCATGGCATCTGCATACACTGCAGCAGTTGAAGTGCTTTGAATACTTACATTACACATTGGAAGGATCCTAGGGTTCCCTGCATTAACATGTTGCCACTGTGGTTGCTAACCCCAGGGCTTGCAGTAGCATTTCTGTCTTCTGACCACAGACCCATCTTTCTCCAGGTTACTCTCAAGTTACAGGAGTCCCAACTTCCAGGACCAGACCAATTACAGCAATTTCAGGTTGTTTGCGAGACGGAAGAAGATAAATTTCTGTTGCTGTATGCCCTGCTCAAGTTATCCTTGATTCGGGGCAAGTCTTTGCTCTTTGTCAACACTCTGGAGCGGAGTTACCGCCTGCGTCTGTTCCTGGAGCAGTTTAGTATTCCCACCTGTGTACTCAATGGAGAACTACCACTGCACTCCAGGTTTGCCTCTTCCATGTCTTGCTTGAGAGAAGTCAGGTGGGGATTTCAAAAGGAAGGTCCGTTTGCTGTTCCTGTTTCTTAAGCATTTAGTAGAGGAAGGGTTGGGATTTGACTGGTATTCACTGACCTATTTATTTTTTGACTCCAGACTACCTACTACTCCATTTCTCCCTGAGGAAATTGAGGCAGGAAGATTAGGTAGGGAAATAATTTTTTTAAGAAAAGATTTGTTTATGCATAGAAAAACTGGGGTGTAGGCCAGAGGTGCGGGAGGAGGGCAGTGGAGGATTCACCAGAGACAGGGTGGAAAGTAGAACAGGAAGATGTACTGAAATACGCAAGACAGGAGAGGTCTGCTGCACCTCGTGGGTCACTTCCCTGACTGGGGATCGAATTCAGGCCACAGTGGTGATTGTGTGATAGTGTTAACCCTACACCACCATGAAGACCCCAGGGAAATAGTTTAAGAAGAAACAAAAGTGACAAAAGATGATGGTTTCTGTGGTGCTGAGGTGGGAGAGGCCTCCAGCTTCTTGTTGTAACTGACCCTCCATCTGCTTCTATGCCACAGGTGCCACATCATCTCACAGTTCAATCAGGGCTTCTACGACTGCGTCATAGCCACTGACACTGAAGTCCTAGGCAACCTCGTCAAGGGCAAGCGTCGGGGCAAAGGGTCCAAAAAGGACAAGTAAGTTGATCTTTCTGTCTAACCTCCCTAGAAAAACTTGATTTTTAGCCTTTCAGATGACTAAGACCAGAGTGCCTGAGCATGAACCAGCTGTTCCAGGCCAAACTGGCAGCAAAGCCCATAGAGCCCCATAGGCTGAATTGGCCACTTGGGTATGGAGAAGGGGAGTGAGGGGCTCATTTGTTCTGTGGGCATTTGTTCACAAAGGATGAAACTGCCAGGAATCTAGTGCACTGTCCTGCAGGGGAGATACCCAGCCTGTACTGGGTATGTAGCTGTGACTTACAGAGGGATATTTCTAGGGTGAGGGAATACCCCAATCTCTGCCAGATGGGTCAGTTGACCCAGGGGTGGTTTCCAGAGGACCCTGTGGGTCAGTGAATTCTGCTCTTGCCCTAGAGCTGAGGTAAGGGCAAGTTTTGGCCAGGTGTCAAAGCTCTCAGCTATCCTGCTACCTAAAACCTCAGGAATTGTTCTAATGCTGCAGAATCTTACATGTGTCAGAGTTTTGTGGTTTCATACAAGCTCTATTTAGATTTCTTGGTGATCAAATAAATGTGCGAACACCTGCCTGGAGGAGAAGAAAGGTCTGATTGATGGTGGGGTGTCTCCCTGCAGGGCCTCTGATCCAGAGGCAGGTGTGGCCCGGGGCATAGACTTCCATTACGTTAGCGCCGTGCTCAACTTTGATCTACCCCCGACCCCTGAAGCCTACATCCATCGAGCTGGCCGGTAGGATGTGGTGGACCAGTCATCACGACCAGGGGGTTGAAAGGGGCCTGAAGGTCTCTGGCCACAGACACTAATTGATTGTCTCTGCTTGCAGGACGGCACGTGCCAACAACCCGGGCACAGTCCTGACTTTTGTACTGCCCACAGAACGGTCCCTCCTGAATAAGATTGAGGAGCTTCTTGGTGGTTTCAGTGGCGGTAAGTGCCCAGTTCATTTTGGCCTAGGCCAGAGCAAGCTTTTCTCATGACACCTTGAACTTAAGGCTGGTGAGGGCAACCGAGACACTGGTGTAACTAGTAGCTGCCCACTGGCTCTCACCATTGTGTGCCATATCCTCGCTCTTCCTTCTTGTGCGCTGGGTGGCAAGCACTGTCTTCCTTCACAGATGAGAAAGTGGGCAGAATTGACAGGTAGTTGCCTAAAATCACATTGCTTGATTCACAAAAGCAGAAGGGTTAAAGGAGAAGGGTGGTTGTGGGAGATGGGGAAGGGGTTGGTGCTTTCTGGGGAGATGACCCTAAGAGAGCAGACTGCTTGAATGACTTTTGCCAAGTAAATAGGTAAGCACTGGTGCCTTCCAGATGTTTAACAGTAGAGCTGTGGTAGCATTCTGGGCTGTAAGAAGAGGATAGTGGCGGAGTGCTGGGAGGCTGTGAGCGGAGGATTCATGCAGGGATCCTTTTGGGACCCTGACTCCTGCCCTCAGTGTCGCCCAGAGACACCACTGGCTGGGGAGGTAGCAGAAGTCTCTGTGCCCTAGTTTTCTTATTTGGAGTGGGTGATACCTGACCCCACATTGTCATTTGTTGTGCCAAGTAACCTTTTATACTTCTTACCCTTAGTGATAGTGCTTAGAACAGTTCCTGACGTGGCACTGGTGCTGTTCCTGTGGTGGTTGTCATGGGGGTTCCTTTGTGGCCAGAGTGGCCTGAGCGCGGAGTGTGGTCAGGTGGTCAGGTCTTGAGGCTCAGGGACGTGGACACAACAGAACACACTGCCCACAGTATTGTGGATTAGGTCTTAGGAGCTCTCCCTTGTAACCAAGTATTTAGCTGCATGTCAGTGGACATCATTCCCTGTAGCTAACCCCCAAGGTTGGTGGGGGTGTGGGGCAGTGGGTACAGGAGGTCTCTAGTAGACCTTGTCCTGAACCTTAGCCCGTGAGACTCTCCTTGCTGCTTCTCCACAGAGGACAGGGTGCCTATCCTGCTTCCCTACCAGTTCCGCATGGAGGAGATCGAAAGCTTCCGCTATCGTTGCAGGGTGAGCAGGGCAAGGGGATGGGCATTGGTGGGGATTCTTCTAGGACCCCAGGGTCGGCCGTTGCTGTGTGCATCTAGGCGTAAGGGAGGATTTGGGCAGCCTCCTGTCTTGACTTCAGTCTCTACCTCCAGGATGCCATGCGCTCAGTGACTAAACAAGCCATTCGAGAGGCAAGATTGAAGGAGATCAAAGAGGAACTTCTGCATTCAGAGAAGCTCAAGGTAAGCAGGGAGGGAAAAGGGGAAAACTCTAGCGTTTCTCTCTTCTTGGGCATTGCCTCAGTATTAAGTGGAGAGAGGCAGCAAGTGGGGAGGAGGAGGTTTTTTTTGGAGAAAGTGAATGGGTGGACAATTTTGATGTCCAGCAGAATGACAACTTCTGTATCCCTTTGATGTAATTGTGAATGCACATAATCATCAGTGCCCATTTTGACACAGCACTGTTACCCAAAGGTAGGGACGTGCTAAACATGCTTGGAATGCAGGTAGCCAAAGGAACAAGGGGCTGTGTGCGATGCAGAACAGTCTCCAGGATGATGCTTAGTGAGGACAGGAGAGAGAACACAGAGTCAGGTCTTGTCTGTGGAGCATCCTGAGGGGCACAGGCCAGTATCAATAGCTGACTGGCTAGAAATGACTGTGGACAAAGATGTGGAAAAACCTCCTGCTTCTTACATTCTAAAACGCACATGTAAGCACTCCCTGTGAAATTACAAAAGAGAGATTGACCCTACAGTGATGGCATCTCTTTCAGACATACTTCGAAGACAACCCCAGGGACCTACAGTTGCTTCGACATGACCTGCCTTTGCATCCTGCAGTGGTGAAGCCTCACCTGGGCCATGTCCCCGACTACCTGGGTGAGTGTGGGCTTGGGATCTCCTGATCTTTGTTCCTCAGCTGCACACAGATGCAAATGTAAGCACTCAAACTTGTCTGTGAGTCCTACTAGCTAAGTGTCACTATCTCCCTCATGGAGATGAGGAAACTGAAACAGCACAGAGACAGCCATTGCCTCACTTGGTGGCAGGTGCAGCATTTAAGGCCAAATGGTCTTGTCCCGGAGCCTGATCCAATGAAAGAATGAACCAATAACTGGCCAGGCAGCCACTGTGAATGGAAGGGAGAAGTGGGCTGGTGCAGAGGCTCCAGGGAACCAGTGCTGCCTGTGCTGGAGGAGACTGGAATCAGCAATCAGGTGGTGCTGAGGTGGGTTGCTAGATTCTAGAACATTGGGCAGGGGGAGAGAATGCCACTCTCCCAGAGCCTTATGGGGAGAGCAAGTGGGGGTGGGGGTGGTTTTGGGGGGTGGGCAACACTCAGTCATGGAACCGTCTGGTTTCCAGATGATGCTGATGAGGCCAAAGTCTGAGAGTCCCCAGAACCATGTTCCCTTTATGTAGCTTTTACGCCACATCACTGGGTGGCAGCATCTTTGATGAGCACCTGTGACTTTCATGTTGAAGATGCTTAAAATGGACTAAGGGAGAAGAGTGAGGAAGGGCCCCTCTTCTGCAGTCTCTGAGGAATGGGAGCGAGCCAGCAGGTGTTACAAAGAGAAGGAGCCCAAGAGATGGGGAATTGAAAGTGTCAGCGCTAGTACTAGTAGAGGTCAGGTTTCCCAGTGACCGTGAGTGTCGGAGACACCAGCTGGGGTCCTGGTGGAGGAGCTGAGTGGGGGGTGTGTGGGGGGGGACATGCTCATCTTTTCTTTCAAATGGGGGCAAAGTTGCCTGTGGCTGGATGGCCCAGGGGACCAGAGTGAGGTGGAAAGGTGCAGTGGGTGCTTGGAGGCCTGTTGGGATCCAGTGTGACCTGACAGAGATAACTCTGTAGTGGTGTGGTGCTGCCCACGAAGAAGTTACACAGACTTGCTCTGGCTTAGCTGTGTCTCTCTAAAATGTGTATATATATTTTTTCTTTTACACACTTGTAGCAATGAACTTGAATACTATAAGAGTGTGATTTATACTAAGACCTCAGTCCCACCTGTGGAGATAGTCTTCTGTGTCTGTGATAACTAGTTGTGTTGCTTATTAATATTTTATTTTATTATAGATGACTTTTTTTTAAAAAACTTATTTATTTATACATACAGAACTGGGATACAGGCCAGAGGTGGGGGGCAGTGAGAGGATTCACCAGAGACAGAGTGGGGAGAACAGGCAGACCGACGAAGTACACTGCTGAGGGGAGCACAGGTGGGTCAGGAGAGGTCTGCTGCGCCATGTGGATCATCCCCAGGGCGGGGATCAAACTTGCACCAAAGCAGCCTCGGCCAGCTTCCACAGTGCTGCGCTTTAACCTGTTGCGCCACCAGGGAGGGCTCTTACTGGTTTTTGAATGTGTGACTGGAGTGTTGGCACTGGGGCCAGATTGGAGCACTTGCTGGAGAGGAAAAGGTGGGGAGACAGGCTGCTTCTGATATCAAATGTCTCTTCTAGTTCCTCCTGCTCTGCAAGGCCTTGTTAACCCTCACAAGAAACGGAGAAAACTGTCCTCAAAGAAGGTCAAGGTGGGTCCTCCAGGGGTCTTGGCAACAACTACCAGAGGAACCCCTCCACCTTGTCCCGTCTTCACTGGACTGGGCATGCACCTTGCCCTAGGGAGGGGCGAGAGAGGCCCAAGGAATTGGTCTCTGAACGCCTGGCTGCTTGTCTAGGCTGGTGCTGGGGACTCCTTTCGTGCTCACAGGCGACTTTGAGAGCACTGGAAGACCTGCTTTTTGTCCCCACTACTGTTGGGGAAAAAGATGGGAGCTTGGAGGGCTGCCCTATGTGACCACAGCAGGACCTTCCCAAGTAACACCATCCATTCCCTGTAGCTGTCTCAGTTTGGGCAGACAGACATCCCGTTCCCCCAACTAATTTGAGATTTTGCTCTTACAGAAGATGAAGACCCAGAACCCGCTGCGTAGTTTCAAGCACAAAAGAGAGAAACCCAGAACCCCGAAGAATCCTTCCTGAGGCTATCTGGGCAACCTCAGCAGTGTTCCCAGACCTTTCCCAGGGCCTGTGGAGTGTGGAGCAGGATTCCCACACTTGGTGGGGCTGGATTCCTACGCGGCTGGACTGATTTTGCAGCAGGCAGAGCTGTGGCTCTCCAGATTCATGACTGTGACAGACTGCCATCTTACTCTTTAACAACAGAATAAAGATTCTAGGTGCCGTGCTTTGTGCTTCCTCTACATGGGAAGGTACCATCACCAAATCCTTGGGGATATGGAAACGGCTTCCAGGAGGCAGGCTTGGCTTTACCTTTTGCATGTAGTGCCTCGTCTGGGAGACAACGGCTATACTGCATCGTGGGATCTTCGCACCCTAGGAAACACCTAACCCTCCACCAGTATCTGGCTCAGCCCATAGTTGCTTCTCTGGCCCCACTGTCAGATCAGGCTGGCTGACCAACCAGTCTGGCCTCCCTCGCTGTGCCTTATTAACGGTTCGGACTGTGGGGAAAATGGACCTTATTGCCTATGAGCCCTACACCCTTGCCTCTAAAGACAGCCTGTTGTAAATTTGGCCCATTGGCTCTTCAGGGTCAGCCAGTGAGGGCTATTTCCTGAATTCCCTGAATTGTGCCTCGGCACATCTCTGCATATTTTAAGGCACATGACAGGGTGATATACACACACTTGTCTTTGTTCCCTGCCCAGCTGCTGCACCTCAAGTAAGAGCCCCAGCCTCCAATCTGGTCTTCCCAACTCTGTTGCTGTTGGAGGGTGGTGGAGAGAGGGGTGGCAGGGGGCCCTTTGCTCGTTCAACACTTTTGCCTCTACAGATAACAGTCTTACTGTCACCCATTTATCAGTTCTGGCCTGGCCATGTGAAGAGAACCGGGCCAGAGAAGGCAGAGTTGGGAGGAACCTGGAAGTGCCTCAGTATTTAGAAAATCCAGTCGTCTATCAGCATAATTGGTCTGCTGGGAGTTGGGACTGTGGAAATCTGGTTATTGTTAAGGCATAGGGTTTGGGGTTGCTGGGACCTTGAATTTGGACTCTTAATTTTTTTTTATGAATGACTATATATGCATACAGAACTGGGGTAGGCCAGAGGTATAGGGGTGGTGGGAGGATTCTCCAGACACAGTACGGAGCACAACAGACGGATTGATGAGTACACTGCTTTGGAGCAGCTGTCAAGTCAGGAGAGGTCTGCTGTGTCATGTGGATCACCTCTCGGCTGCAGCTAGCTTGCAGTGCAGCGCATTAACCTGCTGGGCCACCAGGGAGGGCCAGAGGTTGGATTTTTCCTACCCTATGTGGAAACCTTTGGCCTTATCAAACATGGACAGGCTCTTAGGTGAGCATATCGGACAATGGGCCTGAATGTGCCTTCTGTAAACAGGTTTACTGGGCACCAGATAAGCTTGGCCAGTTTTCAGACTGACTGACGCACAGACCCACCGCTGGGAAGTCAGAGTACAAGAATCACTTTCATCCTGACTGGCATAATCACATCCATGCATAGGCATAAATGGGCTCTTGTTCCAGGTTGTGTACTGGGGGCTAGAGTTGAACAAAGCAACACATGTGAGCAGCTTTAGGCAGAATCAAGTCTTCACTGTGCCCCAAGCTGTGGCCCATAAAGCATCTGCCTGCCATGCCAATAGGTGAGTCCCTGGTGCTAGGCTGGAGAGAAGGAATGTGGGTGGTGCTTTTGACCAGCACATGAGACAGTCACCCTGTAAGAAGGTCCAAGATGTAAAAAATACACAAGGCTTCACCCAGCAGGGGGGGTCAGGGGAAGCTAGCTACCTGAGCAGGGAGTGGTAGACTGGGCCAGTGATCTTGAGAGGGAACAATACGCAAATGCTCTGGGTGGGAGGGGACCCAGCATATGTGAGGTGAAAAGAAACCCAAGTGGTCATCACATTATGCAGAGACTAAAATTTTTTTTTTAAAGATTTATTTATTTATTCATACGGAACTGGGGTACAGGCCGGAGATGAGGAGGGTGAGAGGATCCACCAGGGACAGAGTGGGGAACAGAACAGGCAGATCAACGAAGTACACTGCTGAGGGGAGCAGCGAGTTGGTCAGGAGAGGTCTGCCACGCCATGTGGATCTCCTCTGGGCAGGCAGGGATCAAACTCATGGGGACGTGGCCCAAGCTTCTCAGTGAAGTGTCCTAACCCACTGCGCCATCAGGGAGGGCCGAGACTAAAAATTTTTAACTTGATTTAGTTTTTGAAAAGAGTAATACAGGGCTTCCCTGGTGGTGCAAAGGGTTAAGTCTCAGCACTATGAAGCTATCAGCCACTGTCCTAGGCCTAGGCCAGGGAGGGGATGGTGCAGCAGACCTCTCTTATCTCACCTGCAGCCCCCCTCAGCAGTGTATTTCAGTCAGTCCACCTATTCTCCCCACTCTGTCTCTGGTGAATCCTCTCACTCTCTGCGCCTCTGGCCTATACATATACCCAGTTCTTGTATGCATAAATAAATCTTAAAAAAAATACAGTCATGTTAAAATTCAAAAGGTGGGGGTGGTGTTTGAGCAGAAGAGCACCCTGATTAGATCACTTACGTTATGATGTGATAATAGAGAAGTGAACAGAGTATACCTAGGAACCTATGGACCCAGAGCATAAAACAGTTTTAAGTGCATTTCCTAGTCCAGCTAAATCTTTGTTCACATCTGCTGAGGATCAATGACTCAGCTTTTGGGGAATTAGTTGTTCCTGGGACTTTGGTCTGGTAGGGACATTGTCTCCAGGAGGCAATAGCAATTGAGTCGATTTTGTGCAGGGGAATATCTCTGCCAGCTGCTAGCCTCTTTCTCTGCAGGAAGAAGCATTAGGATGTCCCATCTTGAGGAAGGAGCTGTGTCCATCAGCCTATTTTACATAGAAAGGGAAGATGTGGTCATTCACTGGGGAAATGTGCCCAGCCCAGCTGACCTGGGCTGATGTGTCTCAGGTTACACTGGACAGACTCACAGTTGCTCCCCAGACATTTCTAGACTTCATCTGTCTTCACTCACAAACCCTCTGAGGCTGAGCTAGAGAATAGGCACATCAGGGGGTCTTCAGATGATCCCCTAAAACTGCCTTTGCTCTCCTTCTAATGTGAAGGCACCATGCTTTTCTTGGCTTCCTTTGGAGTCTTAAGTGAAGGTAGAAGTAGCTCCTCCAAATGTTCTGAGGCTGGGGGTGGAGATGTGCCATTGAGGCCTGAGAGCCCTCACACGCCCAACTCTGCAGCAACCTCTGTGCTTTGTGTGGTGATCCCACACAGCACTCTCTCACTTAAATGTGCAGGTCTCGTTCAACAGTTTGAGGGCAGGGCCTGAGATAGCTGTATTTCCCACTACCTTCTAGGGAGGCCAATGCTGGAGTCCAGACCACACCCCATCCCCATTTTATAGATTGGGAAACAGGCTAAGAGAGGGCAAGTAACCAGGCCAATGCCACCTAATTAAGTGGTGTAGGAGATGCTGTGCACAAAGGGTCCCTGAGGTGCGAGAACTGGGGTACAGCCAATCCCTTCTTTTCTCTGAGCCCATCTCCACCTGTGAGGTACAATGACAGGATGGTTAGCGAAAGTACTGGACTTGTAGTATATTTAAATATCAGATAAATAATGAGTAACTGTTTAGTATAGTGTATCCCATGTAATATTTGTAATACACTAAAAATTATTTGTTGTTTATCTGAAATCCAAACCTAGCTACATGCCCTTCTTATTGCTAAATTTGGCAACCTCTGATTGTGGAACACTTCTTGCCTGGGTGTAGCCGCCTCCAGGAAGCCTGTCTAACCTTCAGCCTGGGATGGGCATCCTTGTCTCTCTGTCCTCTCATATGGCCTTTGCCTCAGAATCTGTTTCTCTGGACTCTAATAATGCCTCCACTTTCATTTCTGATTTTATTAATCGGAGATAGTTCTCATTCTTGTTTTTCTTAATCAGTCCAGCTAGTTTTGTCCAAAATGTTAATATTTTCAAATAACTAATGTTTGGTTTCATAATTTTCTCATTTTTTTGTCCTCTATTTTCTTTATCCCTTTTCTAATCCCTTTTATTTCCATCTTCCTCCTAATTTCGGTTTAGTTATTTGTGTTCTGTAAGTTGTAAGGTTAGGTTGTTGATTTGAGATATTTCTATTTTTTAATGTAAATAGATATAACTATAAAATTCCCATTAGCACTGTTTTCATTGCATCCCATAAGTTTTAGCATGTTCAATCATCTCTGTTTTCTAATTTCACTTGTTAATTCTTCTTTGACCCACTGGTTGTTAAGAATGAGATGTATTAAAATATCTAGAAGAAAATATCTAGAAGTAGGTGAAACATTACGCGACATATACCTCAATAACATCTTTAATGATACAACACCCAGAGCAAGGACAGTGAAAGAAAGGATAAACAGCTGGGACAACATCAAGTTAAAGAGCTTCTGTACAGCAAAAGAGACACTACACAAAACAGAGACACAACACTGTTTGGAGACAGTGTTTGTGTACAATACTAATGACAAAGGATTGATCTCAAGGATATACAAAGAGCTTATTAAATTCAACAAAAACAAAGTGAACAATCCCATCAAAAAATGGGCAGAAGAACTAAAAAGACACTTCTCCAAAGAGGATATGCAGATGGCCAACAGGCATATGAAAATGTTCAATATCACTTTAATAAGGGAGATGCAAATTAAAACCACAACAAGAAACCACCTCACAGGGGAGAGAAGTGCACGGGACTATGGTGATGGCACGCAGGTGACTTGGTGATGGGAAACCCACGGGGATTACAATTGAGATGAAAAAATATATATATACAAAATAATGTAAAAATAAACTATTATAT